CATATAAAACGTACATAAAATCAAGAACAAAATCGTAAAAAAAAATTTATATCGAAACATAGATAAACTTGAATATAATACGTTTTTTACATGTTTATTTTTATGTATGTATTAGTCTAAATCCAAGGTGGTCAACTCGACGTATTCGACGTAATTGTAGAACTTTGGTTCATTATTTTAAAAAAAAAACTTATTTGTTTTTTATGTACATGCCGGTATAAGTTCGCGTTCGTCTACGGTTTGACATATTTTTTTATGTTTATTATTTGTTTGTAAATAAAAATAAGAACGAAAACATAAAAACAAATTATGTCAAAACGGACGAACTTAAATTTTTAACGATACATACATAAAATAAACACCAAAAAATTAGTTTTTTAAGTTAACGGACAAATGTTATTATATATCACCTCAATGAACCGTACATAACTAAGCACACAAACATAAAAAATTCATCGAAACATAAACAAAGTCGATTATACTATATTTTTTTCAGTTAACGAACAAAAGTTATTATATGTGACCGATATATAAAAATAAGCATGTAGAAAAATAGTTTTTTTAGGTTAACGAACAAAAACTATTAAGGAAATTATATATATATATATATATATATATATATATATATATATATATATATATAGAGAGAGAGAGAGAGAGAGAGAGAGAGAGAGAGAGAGCTATGTTCATTTGTTTAAACTAAGTATTGTGTTATCGTATGCATAAATGTGGATCAATCAAAATTTAAAATAAAAATAAATAATTAAATAAATAAATTAGGGTAAATAGGTAATTTGATAATTACTTTCCACAGATAATATACTATAATTAAGGTAACAATTGACTTAGTTTTCTCCACCCATCGTCTTTTAAACCGTAACCCTAATCAACCCTTTTTGACAACGACCCCATGGACACTCACTGTAATGCTCTTACTTGAAGTGCTAGAACAAGCGGCAAGGACAAAAACCTTAGCAACTGAATCGATGCACACGTTGTCTTCGTTCTCACTTATGCTTTCTTCAATTGTTCTTCTCTGGTTGTGAGATGTGAGGAATGTGGGTCAGGCGACTATGGATCAGAGCTCTTATTGTGCGACCAGTGTGACCGAGGGTTTCACTTATTCTGCCTCAGACATATTCTTGCTTCTGTTCTGATCGACTCTTGGTTCTGTCGTTCTTGTTCCACCAATCGGAAGACCATTTCTGATCGACTCTTGGTTCTGTCGTTCTTGTTCCACCAATCGGAAGACCATTTCAAGTATGTCTTTTTTCTTTTTCAATTTAAGTTGACCTGCATTTTGTGGCATTGCATGTTATGGTTTAGGTTTAAGATTTTTCGGATTTACAGTTAAAGGGGTTTTTCTATTGTAAAGTAATGGAATAATTCACATATGCTGATTCATCCAATGCTTAATTTTATACTGGTAGCTTGAAATGCGAAGATCCCCAATTAAACCCTAGATCTAAGGACTTTGCACCAGCTGTCTGATTCAAATACTTGACAGTAATAACTGTAGTTACATCCCGTGGAATTCTTCTCATACACCGAGGCAAGTGATTCGCTTGATTATGTGAATGATAATCCAGGTAGTCGATAGGGTAAAATCTCATGGTAAAATCTTGACTAGGAACAACCCCTAATTTCTAGGATACAAGCCTTTGAATTATATGCATTGTTGTCTGTGTACATCATGTTTAGTCCAGTAGTGATTGGTTCACCTTTAACAATGTCATTTCTTGTTCTGTACCCAGGATTCCCGTTGGTTCAAACAAAAACCATTGATTTTTTCCGCATCCAAAGGTCCTCTACATCAGGTGAAGATTTTTGTCAAGGTAGATAAGAGAGATCACTTATTCATGTTGTTATGTTTTATTGCTTGATTAGAGAAAAATATTGGTAAGATTTGTTTTGTTATATGATTGTAGATATAGGCAAGAAAAGGAGGCGAAAAAGTTGCTCAATTGCATCAAAGAAGAAAAGGAGACTGTTACCATATAGTCCAAGTGAATATGTTTTATTGCTTGATTAGAGAAAAAGATTGGTAAGATTTGTTTTGTTAAATGATTGTAGATATAGGCAAGATAAATGTATCAAAGACTGGACAATAATCACTGAATATATTGGAGATGTTGATTACTTACAGAGTTGGGAAAATGATGATGAAATCACGAATTCCAATTCTATTGGAATGGAATGACGAATTCCAATTCTGTTGGAATCACAAAAGTTGATGCTTGAAGAACGGACCACAAAATTGAAACGGACCACATTATTCTTTTAGAATGTATTAGTCGTTGTTAGTTTTGATGTATTCTTTCCGGTTTTGATTGTTTTTTAGTTTTATTCTTAAACAATAAATGTAATTATTAACAATTTTTACCCGTATTCTACAATAAGTAATGTATTTTTTGTTTTAATTCTTCTAGTTATTGTTCAAGAATTTGTTATTTTATAAAAAGTTTTTAAATTCATGATCAAGAAATAGGTTCAAGAATATTTTTATTATTTATGGTTCTAGAATATTTTTAATTTTGAATATACTCATAAACATATTCTGTTAAAATGTCCGAATTAAAATAATTATAATTCTTAAAATCGGATTTTTAAAATTAATAGAATCTATGATTCCTTAAAAAAATGCAATTTTCCTTTATTAAGTCTATATTAATTGACTGAATTACCCTTTTAATTAATTAAGATGATATTTTTCAATTATATTTAATTCAATAGTATATATTAATCACTTTCTTAAAATATGTAAATTTGATTGGCTCACATTTATGCATACAATAACACAATAGATACTCTAAACAAAATAACCTAATCATATATATATATATATATATATATATATATATATATATATATATATATATATATATATATATATATATATATATATATATATATACACTACCAGGGCTAATTCGAAAATTTAGAAAATTGGATGGTTGAAAATAATATTTTACATTCAGGGGTTTGAGTGATATTTAAAAAAGTAAACGTTCATAAACATAAATATGATAAAATTACATAAATGGTTCTTATGAGTTATACATTGTCACAAACTTAGTCTCTGCTACATGAAAAAACCAAATTACCCTCAAACTAATAGAAAATAACTAACAATGTTCACAAAAAAGATCATTCACGCAAGTTTTGAAAAAATACAGGGACCATCTATGTTAAAATTTTTAGCAAAGACTGATTTTGTAAGTTTTAGTAAACCATAATAACCATTTATGTAATTTAGATTTTGTGAGTTTTGATAAATCATAATAACCATTTATGTAATTTTGTCTTATATTTATAATTCCTAACTATTAACTATTTATAATACTTCTGGGGCAAAAATGAATATTTTGTAAAAGTTAAACCAATGTTTTAAAACCCGGGTTGATCCGGCCGGTTCAACCGGTTGGACCGTGATCCGAGATAAAAAACGGGTCAAATTAGAGCGGGTTTTTGTAAAAATACCGACCGGATCGAACCGGCCGTATTTACATTAAACCGCGGTTGAACCGGGTATGTCGAACCGCTACAAAACCGGATTGACCCGTTTATCAGGGTATGTCAAATTAAGTGAGATCGGCTTTCTCCAGGCAAAACAAACTTGTCTCCTCTGGAAAGAAAAGTGACCTGAAGAAAGAAAGAAAGAAAGCAGCGACCAAAGGAGCGATATCAGGAGCAACTGAAGCAGGGACCCCAGCAATTTCGTTCTTCTCCAGGTGAGTTTTCGTTCTTCTCTAGGCGATTTCGTTCCCCCTCTATTACTAATCCACTTACTCCAATCATCGAATTTTGAGTCTATCTAGTTAATGATTTGCGATTTCCGAAGTATATCTTTGTTTGGAATTACAAGTTTGTGATCGATTAGGTTTCTGTTGCTTCTCTTTCTGAGCATAACTAATGTTAGTAAGTTTGACTTTTGAGTGTATAAATCTTATAGCTATGTTAAATATAGACCATGTTAAAAGACAAAAAGCTAACATAATATATGCTAATTTAGAATCTTTAAACCCAACCTGTATTGTTGACTTTATCTTCCGGCACAACCAATCTTGATATTTGCTGAGATATGAAGATTTGTGAATGATTAGTGAAAGTTGTGAGTCTAACTTGTTGCATATAGCTGAAATTAGAGTATAAAAGTAACAAGAATTCTCATTTTCCCAGATGCATTTGATGGATCATGATTGAATATGCTGGAACTAATTTAAATTAAATCTACAAACAATTTAAGTTAATGATAGTAACATGCGTTTTCCTCAGATGAATTTGATGGAACGTGATAGATTATGATGTTTCTAGAGGTGGGCTTTGCTTCATGATGATTATAAGATGCAACTTTACTACTTGGATCATATATAAACTTTTTACTAGGAAGTAAAAAAGAAAACCATTTAGATAGAAAGTTTTTTTGCATGATATTTTTTTACTGAATTCAAGTAGAAGAGCATGAGTAGAAAGAATATTATCTGATATGGGTTTTATTTGTTTGGATTAGAGCTGGGTTTATCTGTTCCAAGGTGACCTGTTACATTTGGACTGAGAAAACAAGACGATAGGCTCTGTAATTCTTCCTCATTGTTCTGTAATTCATAAAAAGATGCTTCAAACTTTACAAAATAGCACAAACAAATTCACTATCTTTTCCTATTCTTCTTTAGTTCTACTTTCAATTATGTTGCATGTGTTTTGACTTTGTTTCTCCACTTTATTTTTTTACTAATAGTAGCTATGTGTATATGTTATGATTTGTGTTTAGATTAAACTTTGTTGACATCAAATTATTGGTATTATATGTTTATGTAGTATGCAGGAAAGTAAAAATATATGAAAATAGAAAAAGATCATTAACTGTTAAACATCATACGGTCAACTGGAGACCCACAAGTCAGGAAAACAAGACAACAAACATTGACTTTGGTACATTCATCTCGAGTTTAGATCTAAGACAACCAAAATCAGAAGGACTCATGTAATTTGAAACTTCCATGGCGATCGTCACTGAATTACCAGAAGAACAAGAAGCGGCAATAACATATGATGTTTTCCTAAGTTTCAGAGGGAAAGACACTCGTCTCGGTTTTAGCGATCACCTTTACCAAGCTTTGGTGAATGAAAACATCTCTACCTTTCTTGATGAGGAAGAGGTTGAAACTGGGGAAGAACTTAAACCCGAACTTGCAAGAGCTATAAAATGCTCTCGTGCTTCCATAATTGTGTTGTCTAAGAACTACGCATCTTCAACATGGTGTCTGGACGAGCTGGTGATGATCCTTGAGCAACGAAGGGTCTCTGATCATATTGTTCTCCCTGTTTTTTACAACGTCGAGCCGACACATATCAGGAAGCAAGAAGGCACTTTTAAAGAAGCGTTATTTGAACACAAACAGAGGATTGAGTCCGAAAAGGATGTGGAGAAGAAACTTCAGGGTGCTCGTAAGTTGGAGTTGTGGACGAAAGGACTTACAGAAGTTGCTGATCTGAAAGGAAAGGATGCAAATGGCCGGTAAACCTTTTTATACTGTATTTATACAGAAGTCTTTTCATTTTGTATCATCGAGTATAGACAAAATAGATCACTTTCGGCAATCTTATTTTTCTGTTTCAATCAAATTAACATTTGAAGTCTTGTAACATTCAGAAATTCATTGGCGTCTTAGCGAAATCTTGAAATAAATGAGAAGGAATCAAAAGAAGAATGATCGATTACTTACGTTTATTGATTTTCATTTACATGGGTCGTGACTTATCAGATTTAATTCAATTTTCAGACGAGAGACTGTGTTCATTGACGAAATCGTTAAGGAAATTAGTAGTAGATTGGAACTACACACCCGGACTAAAATCCCCCATCTAATTGGGATGGACATGTCTATTCTTACCATAAGTTCCTGGTTGAAAGGAGGATCGTCATCAAAATCTGCTGAAATTCTCACAATTTGGGGAATGGCGGGGATTGGAAAGACAACCTTGGCAAAATATATCTATAGATTACACCGCCATGAATTTGAAAGAAGTAGCTTTGTTGAAGAGATTGAAAGAAAATGTGCAGAACAAAAATATGCACTACTTGATTTACAAAAACAGCTTCTTAGAGATATTCTTAGGAAAAGAATGATTGAAGAACATGATGTAGATGTTTGTACATCTAAGATTGAGAAAGCATTACTTAATAAACCAACACTTTTGGTTCTTGATGGTGTTGATAACTTTGAGCAGGTAGATGTGTTGATCGGAACAAAAGGTTTTCATCCAGGAAGCAAGATTATTGTAACAACCAAAGATGGGTCCCTAACAGAAAAGTGTTCATTGTTTCGTATCAAATTTCCTCCAAAGCATACAGAGCATGCACTTTATGGTTTAAGTGCTACAGAATCTGTAAGACTTTTATGTTGGCATGCATTTGGAGGTTATGATCCTAAGGAAGGTTATGAAGAAGAGGCAATAAGAGCTTCAAACTATTGTGGAGGACATCCACTCGCTCTAAAGGTTTTGGGTAGTTCTCTAAATAACGAAGATGTTGCCACATGGAGTGATACCTTTGAAATGCTAGAGACAGGAGAATTCCATAATCATGTACACAAGGTCCTCCAAATTAGCTTTGATTCTTTGCCATCTCAAGATTGCAAAGAATTGTTTAAGCATATTGCATGTTTTTTTGTTGGGAAAGACAGAGAAGCTACGGAAATAATATTAAAGGAATGTGGCATTCGCACATCATATGGGATGAAAAAGCTCTTCGATAGATGTTTTCTCACAATTGGAGGAGATAATATGATCACAATGCATCAGTTGCTTCAAGATATGGGGAGAGATTTAGTCCACAAAGAATCACCTGAAAAGCCATGGAAGCGTAGTCGAGTATGGAAACATGAGGAGTCCCTCGATTTGTTGAAAAAGGACAAGGTAAATACAACATATATAGTCATCATGAGTATTCGTTAGCTTTATCGATCATCTTTATAACGAAATGATTAATGTTTGTTTTGATTTTCTTTTTGATAGGGTACCCAAAGAATTCAAGGTCTTATCCTTGACACGAACTTATTGAGAAAGGAGCATAACTTCAAAGATGATGACGTGAACAAGATTTTTAGAGCTGATCAACCAATCCAGATGGTGTATGAATTCTTTTTAAGGATTTGGTTGTTTTTTGCTCGGCTTCTCCTAATGCTTTCATCTTCTCATTGCAAAAAAGTGGAATTAAGAACAGATGCATTAAGAAAGATGGATAAGCTAAAGCTGCTCCAACTCAATCATGTCAAAATCGACGGTTCTTACAAGAATTTTCCAAAAGGTTTAAGGTGGTTGTGCATGCATGGATTCCATTCAAAATTCATACCTTCAGACTTACCAATGGAAAATTTGGTTGCTCTTGACATGTCTTACAGTAATCTGACACAGCTTTGGAAGAAGCCCAAGGTATGAAATTAAAGCTTTTACTTAAATTTTTAGACAATTAATATCTTCGTTACAATATTCTTGATTCGAGGATATCCAATGCAACAGCTTCTTGGGTCATTGAAGATTCTTAATCTGAGTTATTGCAAGATTGTTAGAGTTGAAGGCTTCTCTTGGCTACCTGCACTTGAGAGGTTGATTCTTATAAACTGTAAAAGCTTGGTTCATGTGTGTGAGTCAATTGGCGGATGTGATGGCCTTGTTATTCTTGACTTGAGCTACTGCAATAATCTTAGTAATGTTCCAATTAGCATCAGCAAGTTAAAGAAGATTAAACGTCTATCACTAAACGGTTGCTTAGGTGCTAGTGAGTTTCTAATGCGGATGAAGGATATGGAGTCATATGCATCTTCCTCTTCTATTGGAGAATTTTTACCGAAAACTCCAAAATCATTTTTAGTACCCTCATTAGTAACCTTATCACTTATAGGCAATAATTTATCTAACGAATCCTTTCCGAAGGACTTCAGTAGCATGTCAATGTTGAAGACATTATATCTAAATAAGAATCCAATTGATTCCCTGCCTGATTGTGTGAGAAGCCTTAGCAAGCTTGAGGAACTCCATGTTGGAGAATGTTGGATGTTGAAGTCGGTATTGTGCCCTCCACCTACAATCCAATATTTGTGGGCTGACGATTGTCCATCACTTATTAAAATAACATTCCCTCAAGAAATGTCATCACCACCATTTCTGGATAATTTTGGCGCAGAGTCATTGAGCTAAATTGAAGGCAGAATAAAAATTCAAGATATAGCAGAAATTGATGAGCAGATCTTATGCAGCTTAGGGTGGACAAATTTACAACATTTGAAAGATCAGAAGATACGGATACAGGATTCATACTGATTTTCTCCTCCAAAGAAAGACCCAGTCCAGGTATCCTCTTTCTTTTGCTCTGTTTCTATGGATCTCACAGACACATACACTAATATGCTTAAAATTCATACAATCTAATGTTTTAATTGAAGCTGCTTTACGAATTTGGAATATTTAGCACATGTTTTCCTGGGAAAGCAGTTCCAGATTGGCTACCTCATAAAAGCAAGGGTTCATCAATATCAATGTCAATAGCCAGTGTCTTCAATGAATAAAAAGCTACAAGGAATAAATATAAGCTTTGTGCAAACAGGAAAGATAGGTCATTTAAGCATAAAAGTAGAGAACGTGACAACAAATCGCACCTGGATATATTATGGTCATATATTTGCTGTTCCAGAAACTGATGAAGATATAGTATGGTTAAGTCATTGGATGTTTGGGGATAATGAGATTAAAAATGGTGATGAAATTGGTGTTACAATATTAAAAGGAAGGGGAGGTGATAGAGTAATGGTAAGAGAGTGTGCAATCAGTCCAGTGTATAATAATATTGATAAGGACAATAATGAAGAAGATCCTTTGAGTTATTACAAGTCATGGAAATATATTATTGGTGGTGATCTGTCTGCATTTCAGTTAGCCTCAGGAGATTACTTATTAGACCAACGTCCTTTTGGTTATCATTCCCATGTATTTGAAGACCACTTATATAAACTATTTTTCGAAAGTAAGAATGCTATAACAAATACCCAAATGGAAGAATGTATTTGACAAATAACACCATACATTCATTGCTTTGTTTATTACAACATCCTACTTTTGTTTCTTCCTATTACAGATTTACAACATTGTACTTTGAAAACTCTACCCAACTATAGCAACGTGCAATCTTCACTGCTATAAATCAATAGATCTTTTAAAAATATAATATGATAAAGTAGAATGCCATTACAAATACCCAAATGGAAGTATGGTGCTATAATTGGGTGGATAATGTACCTTTATTTGGTGATTTTTTGAGCTTATTGTTTTCTTGTGATGAATTATCCTTGGGATTATATCTGGATCATTGTGAGGATATTGTGATAACTGACAAATGATTATCCATGGAAGATGTTTGCACAAATGTAAATCCCTATAAAGATCAATATTTATTTATTTGCATGCACTTTTGTTCGACTATTTTTCAAGTAAAAAACAAATTCTAAGCTATGTTTGAAGAAGAGGGCATTCACATTTTTTACATGAACTAGTAATTAATATTTTTTAAGTAGATTACATTTTTGATCCCTAAGGATAGCTGATTTTTTTTCTCAATTTTGGTATTAAAATGTTTTCTTTTTCAATTTGGTCATTATTTAAGGTTTTGTAAATTTTTTTTTTGTCATCTTCCAAGCAGGTCCGTCCCAGAGGGTAGGTGATAGGGGTGACCGTCCAGGGCCCATATTTTAAAGGGGCCCAAATTTTTTATAGAAATTATTATATTTAGAAGATAGTACAAATAATTTTATTTTAATTATTGATTTGTTATAAAAAACTTGATGATATTTGTGTATTTTAAGAGCCTATTTTTTTCTCTTGTCCTGGATCCAAAATATGTTTGGAACGACACTGCTTCCAAGTAAAATGACAATCTTTTGGACCAAAACTTCAAAAAACCAGATTTATTGACCAACCAAAAATAGTCATTTCACTTTTGAAAGCGACCCAAAAGAACCTAAAATAAGGCCAATATTGCAAGAGAACATAATGGGACCAAAATTGCAAAATCTAGCTATACTCAAGGACCAAACATGTTGTTGTTGTTGTTGTTGTTGTGCTGCTGCTGTATAGCAACCAATTTGTATTTTTTTCTACTAGCGTTTATACATGTAACCACTTGGACAAGTTAGTAGTCGATTTTGTTTCACATGATATCCTTTCTTTTTAAAAGCTTAATTAACGTTTTAATTTAAATTGATAGATATTTATTTACTTATGCAATCATCTCTAGCCACCCTCCCAAAACCATAACCGAACGTTGTAATCAATGATTTAATGTGAGTTGATATAGTTAGTGGAAACTCTTTTTATTTTAGCTTTATACAAAAAAATATGTTAAATATGATTACAAAAAATATATTACTACAATAATAATATAATTTAGGATGTCATATACATTTCAATTAATTTGTGTGATTTCCATCCATTTAACCTATTTGAGACATTTTTCTTTATAACTTATTGGTTAATATGAATAAAACCAACTATTTTAAGCAAATTAATCCTAATGAAAACAACCAACAAAAATAAATGCCAAAAGGTAAATCTATGGCGGTTAATTTGACAAGCTTCAACAACCAGAAGGGTCGATCCTGTAAACATGCAAATAGAAGGGGCTATAGCTAAAATTTAAACGGAAAGCAACGGAAAACAACACCCAAACTATTCGTTAAGAGAAAAAAAATCGACGAACTGTATAACCGAAATTGAATGATCAAAATCGGAAATCAGATTTGAGAGAATGATGATGGAAGAAACCCTAGACGATTGTGCCAAATCATTTACAGCTATATACATATTCTCCATCGCCACCGCTTTTCAGTTTTGTGACAAGTTATTAGCACAGAAGAAGAGGGTAAAATTCCATCCAAACTTTCAAATTTTATATGCGATTCCCTTTCGTTGTTTCAGTCGGATTATGCTAATGTGCGGATTGTTTCTTCATTTATAGATTTCGATATATGGATTTGTTATAATGGAATTGTTTTCTTGTTGAAGTCGCTAAATTTAGTGAAAAATCTTTGCTTCATAGTTTTCCTCTCATTATAATACTTTTAGATATAACCATATAATTCCCTTTCTCGAAATGCATTCCTGTTGAATCTTATGTCATGATACCCTTTGAATGCTTGATGACAAAATTGATTTTCAGTTCAGTAATATATTTATAGTGATCTTGGGGAGTTGTCAATTGAAGCAAAAGATTCTCCTAGCTTTTACACGTGGAAAAAAAGGAAACATAGTTTTAAACATTTGATTATTATAACATCATACTTACAATTTTCTTTTTTCTTATCAAGGCATTGTACTTTGAAACATCTACACAATTACAGCATTGTGCTTTCCAAAAAATTCTTATTAGGACATTATAACAACAAAAGTAGGTTGCTATAAATAAATAAATAAATAAATAAATAAATAAATGCAAGTACATTGCTATTTCTTGTATTTAACCCTTTAAACTTTGAGATAGCAGAAAGCTTCAATGAGTCAGAAGGATTTACAGTTGCGTATTGAGATCAAGAGACTTTTGAAAGAGGCAGCCGCTTTGTCACAGTTAGTAATCTCAGCAATTTTACCGTTTTCAAGGCCTCATTTGTTACATAGGACAAAAGATGACAAAAACAGATGTTTATGTCAATAGGACAACAGGACAAAGTGAGTCTCAGTCCAATGCAGGACAAACACAGTATTGTCCTGCAAACAATAAATGAAGTTTGATAGTCCGCGCAAAAAAAAAAAAATACTTAATATACTTGACACAACTTTTAGTGTTCCATATATGCATATAATAATACAATAATTAGATGGAAAATATGTTTCTCACCTTTTAATTTAGGCCTTCAACATTTGCTCAAGCTGCAAAACTTAGAAGAACAGCAGCAGCTAAGGAGAAAGAACTTGCAAAAAGTATGATAGTTACTCACTTACTCTCCAATTTCTTGATTTTAACATCTAATTTTTCTTTTTTCCTTTTATAGCATTGTACTTCAAATAGAATGGCAAAATTTCACATGCAAGTGAATTTTACGATTATGTAGGTCAAGAGTCATTGAACAAGGATATGAAAACATCATTTGGGTCATATGAGAGAATTCTAATGATTTCAAAGGTGATAAAATATATTTTCATGTTATTTATAATTATGATATTGTATTTGCAAGATAATTTACAACTTCTTGTAAATAGATTGTTGTATATACTTTACTTTCCATGTGGCATTGGAGTGTTCCTGTGGCTTCCATATCCAAAGAACTTGTGCAACCATTCGGTAATCCATTCTTTTCCATTTAAAAAAAAATTATAAATCGCCCTTTTGTTATACATAATATTTTTTACTGTGTTTGACATGCATTGGACACAGACTGATGTTGATGATAAAAAATTTTCGATTTTTTCTTTTTTAATGCAGGGTGGTTTTTATCTTGGACGGCTAGAGGTTCTTTTAGCGACAAAGTTATGGTAAATTACTTTTTTTTAACATATGAAAGTAACAAAATTATATTTATTTAAAGTTTAAAGTTTAATTTATAATTTATTGTAACTTTGATTGCAGATTGGCATTGTACCTTGGTTGATATTATCTAACAAGGTTGGAAGATATTTTGTTAAGAAAGTATTCAAGATGGCTTAACAAAAGATTTTTTGCTCACTCCCTTCATTAAATTAATTTCTTTCATTCTTTGGTGTGCTTTTTATATGTAGTTTTTGTATAAACATTCAAGTTTTTGGTCAAATTGATATGATAATAAGAAAAAATTTGTACACACATATTATTATTATTTTTTTTGTTTATTTGTAATTATTCAAGTATTTCATTTGTAAATTTATTATGATTAATACAAATAATGTATTTTGTAATTTTTATAATTCTTGTAATCTTGTTTGTTTATAAATTTATATAAATACGGAAGTAATAAATTAAGTCTTTTTTTTTCCTTCAATAAATTTGTATTGCTTAAAATTTAATAAAATTAAAAGTGATAATTTAAGTATTCCATTTGTTTCTTAACATCATCTTTAGGTTATCAGTTTTCTATTTGGGACTTGCACTTGATATACAGTTTAATCATGTCTCATAACTCATTTTAATCGGTATATTGATTTCAAAGTGTATTTAAAATAGTGCAAATTGTAAGAAATAACCACATATTTTACTTTTTTTGTTTACTATAATCTGTAAAAAACAATGTATTTACATTTCTTTATCTATGATAGTAAACTACATATATCTTTTTAACGATAATAGTAAATATGCAACACATAATAATAATATACTTACTTTTCATCACTCATAATATCAATGTACTTATTTACAATTCATTAATTATAATTACAATGTACTTATATGTATCTAGTGCAACAAAATGTAGGTACGTTGCTATCATGGGTAAAAAAAGGTTATAAACATTTGATATTAGCGATAAAAAATAAAGTATATTACTACTATCTATAGATTAATATAACCACATTGTTATTCCTTATTATTAATAAAAAGATATAAGTACATATTGCTATTATGTATAAAAATAAAAAGGTGTGTAACACATATTAAAAGTGAACTTAAGTTATGCTACTATTCTCCCCAAAATTGCACATAGGGGAAAACATGAAACATAAAAACCAAAATTACCAACATTTAGGCATTGTGGATTTAATTGGCTAGAAGATTATAGTCAACAAAAAAGTATTTATTTAGTTTTGCTTGTCTATTTATAAGATTTGAAAACCCAAAGGGCCACTTTATCGAACTTTAAAAATCAAAGGGGTCAAATTGAAACTTCAATCCACAGTAATCATCTAGAAATCGAGTAAAATCAAGGAATAAAGATCAGAACCGAATAATATTTCGGGTCCGCGCCGGTAACTTGTTGCTGCCGTTATCTACTTCCACCGTCCACCGGTGAATTATGAGCGACGAGAAGAGTAAATCCGGCACCGGAGATGAAAATATGGTACGGATAACTCTCAGAATGATTGGTCCTTCTCGTCCATCTTCAATGGATGTCCATTCTCCGATCAAAGTATG